GGGTTAGGAAGGCAATGAGGTGAAGTGGTTGCTGTAACAAGTTTGCTCTTGGGAAAAAATATATTGTATGCAGCACACACACATGACCACAAGATGGCGCTGTGTGACTGCAGTATGCGCAGAGATACTGAGCAGTGAGCAACGCGGTGACGTATTTCCGCTCTAGGGTGCCCCAACAAATATGGCCGCTTTCTGCTTACACGTGTTTCCGGCCCAGCAGCAATTTCTGATCGCCTTCTGAAAACCGGAGCAGCCGTTGTCATGGCGCAGGGGACATCGAAGCTGAAAGCGAAGCCTAAGAAAAAGACCGCCAACAAGCCTACGGTGATGAGGAAAGGAGGTGAGGCTAAGAGGGAGCCGATGGCTTGCTGGGACATGTAGTTCCACGGCGGAGGCAGACGTTATATAAACACGGGTACTTTCACATTGTGGCCCCCCCTGGGTGTCACAGAGCGGTTACGTTCACCAGCCCTCCTTATACTCTGCCTCGGGTCTACCAAAAGGCTATAGTGGGGGGTGGGTCCGGCCTGATAGAATACAGTGATTGGGTAGATCGGGGAGATCCCCGTATTACGTAGCTTGATGTGAAGTTGGTTGTATCGTGTATGGTGACCCCCCATATCGGATCAGTGCAATTTTAAATTATTAGGATGACCCATCCGATCCCACCGTCCCATGCAGAGCCAGAGATGAGGACTTACCGAACTCTGATGCTTCCCGGCCTGCGGTGTTTATTTACATCCTCCAGCAGAAGTCTCCCTCTCCTGGCCAAGCTTGTGCAGTGCATCCCTATTGACTTCTATGGGGCTGGTCTGCTGGCCGAGCCTGTGCAATGCATCCCTATTGACTTCTATGGGGCTGGTCTGCTGGCCGAGCCTGTGCAATGCATCCCCATTGACTTCTATGTAGCTGGTCTGCCTCCCTCTACTGGCCAAGCCTGTGCAGTGCATCCCCATTGACTTCTATGGGGCAGTCTGTCTGTCTCCCTCTCCTGGCCGAGCCTGTGCAGTACATCCCCAGTGACATCTATGGAGCTGGTCTGCCTCCCTCTCCTGGCTTAGCCTGTGCAGTTCATCCCTATTGGCTTCTATGTAGCTGGTCTGCTTCCCTCTCCTGGCCGAGCCTGTGCAGTACATCCCCATTGACTTCTATGTAGCTGGTCTGCCTCCCTCTACTGGCCAAGCCTGTGCAGTGCATCCCCATTGACTTCTGTGGAGCTGGTCTGTCTCCCTCTACTGGCCAAGCCAGTAGACTGGTCACTTCAGGAGATGAGAATCTTCACATTTATATGATAATTTCATATATTTTACTTCTTATGTACCTGTAAAAACCGCTTCATGTGTAAACAACCCAAATCTCAAAGAATGCTGCTGGGAGCCGCCATCTTAGATGGGATGTCAGCAGACTCTGCTGCCACCAGCAGGGGTTGGCATGCGTGTGGCTGTCAAGTCTTGCAATGCCTCCTGTGAGTTGTAGTTACGCAAATGCTGGAGTACCGAGGTTTCCTACGCCTGGGGGAGTGTATGGCACGGGTAGGTAAACTCTGGCCTTCCAGCCGTGGTGAAACTACAAATCCTGTCATGCCTGGGGCTGTCAATCTTGCAATGCCTCATGGGACTTGTAGTTCCACAACAGCTGGAGTGCCCAGGTTGTCTAACCCTGATCTATAATACCCTCTTTGCTCCTCCCTCTTACTACCACATAAAAAGGTTGAGAGAATAATTACACGTTGGTTGGATTGCGGACGATCAGGTTGCCCCTCTATGGTGTATAATCTCCAAATACCCAACAACTTGTTTTGTTTGTTTTTTTTCAGCCCGAACAATCGCCCCAAAGAAGTCTCGGGTGATACACCAGCAGAAGCTGAAGAAGGTGAGTGAGCACTGGAATGCAGCCCTGTCATCATATCATCTATATCGGGGTTGACGTGTTTTATACGGAGATATTGGGGGCAATTTATCAAATATGGAGCAGACAGATAGTAACCAATCAGCTTCTCTCTTCAGTTTGTTCAGTTAAGCTTTGCAAATAAAACAGAGAAGCTGATTGGTTACTACAGACAACTGCCTCAGATTCTGTCGGCTCCAGTTTTTATGAATTCCCGGCCCTGTTCTATACGGATCATATATAGCAGGGGTAAGCAAAATTAATTCCTTCAGCTGTGGGGAAACTACAAATTCCATCATGCATCTGAGGAATTGCAAGGCCGATAGCCACAGGCATGAATCGCAGAGATAAAGGCATGGTTGGATTTGTAGTTGCGCCACAGCTGGAGGGCCGGAGTTTGCCTGTCCCTGATCTAGAAGAACAGATTGGCGCCATTCTGTATATCAAGTTTCATGCGTCACAGTTGAGCGGTTTCTACCTAAAGGTTCCCCCCCTGATCTGTGTGTGTGTGGCCCTCCTCTCTCTGTTGGCCCCGTGTTAGGTGGGTGATTCTGTGAACAGCAATATTTTGTTGGCACCAGAATTTTTTAAAGTTTAGCTTACATTACATTATCCTAAGGCAGGAGTAGGCAACCTGAGCACTCCAGCAGCAGTAGTGGTACTACAAGTCCTATGAGGCATTGCAGGACTCTTCAGCCACAGACCTAACTCCCAGAGGTATGATGGGAGTTGTCGGCTCACCACAGCAGCAGTGCTCAGGTTGCCCACTCCTGTCCTATGGCATTGCCCCCTTTTTGCTCATACCAGCAGTTTGGCATTCCATGTCCTCCTATCGGTGATGGCATCAGCAGCATTTTGAGCTGTGACTTCCACTAGTGATAATGAAGCTCGCTGCCACCACCTTGTGACGATGCTCATGAGCTCTTTACACTGCATAGTGAGAGGAAAGGGAGGAGGTGACGCGAGTATGATGGGGAGAAGATAATGTGGGAGGGGAGGAGGTGGAGGGGAGGAGGTGGCGTGGGAGGGGAGGGGGGGGCGTGGGGGGGGGGGGGGGGCAGGGAGGGAAGGAGGTGGCATGAGCGTGAAGGGGAGGAGGTGACGTGAACGTGGAGGGGAGAAGGTGATGTGGGAGGGGAGGAGGTGGCGTGAGCGTGAAGGGGAGGAGGTGACGTGAACGTGGAGGGGAGAAGGTGAAACATGGAAGTTGTTCTTCTCTGACACACAAATTCTGAGCCACATGCTAGTTCCAACACTGAAGCTGAACTGATTCAGCTTCACTGCGAGTGACATCACCACCCCCAATGTGTACACTGTGAGTCAGAGAATAATGTCACCAGTGTGGTCAGAAGGTGAAAACACTTTGTCACAAGTAGCGCCTTCCATGACAGGTTCTCTTTCAGGGCAATGTTTTATCTGCCCATGTATAAAAGGTTTTTGTCACTGTCTGCAGAATCTGGAAGTTCAGATCCGGAATAAGATCGAGCATGACGTCACCATGAAAGCCAGCGCCAAAATGCATAAGAAGCTCACCCTGCTGAAGTCCCCGGCCCAGACAGACAAGAGAGGCAAGAGCGCCCCCGCTGGGCCCAGCAAGACATGAGCAGAGAGATCGGAGGGGAGATGAGAGCCGGACGATGTTCACTTCTTGTGTCTTGTACATAATACGCTGATTGTGTCATAATGAAGATTTTAGTCACATGCCTTTTATAGTTTCATGTTTTTGTCCTGATGCTGCTTTGATGGTAAAAAGGTCATTTTTAATCCTAATCCTTAGCCCTATCCACCCCCCCTCCTCC